GAAAGGGGTTCGGAGGTTCGGATTGGGAGGAGGTTGAAGATTTTGAAATCAAAACCGTATAAGGGACGAATTCTTTGGAGATAGAAGATTTAAATCAGATTCAGAAGATCAAATCAAAGAGGATCCTTCAACAACAGCAAATCTGCTTGGCTATTAACCGAATTTTTGGTTCTAACAACTCTTTTCATGTAGTTCTAACTCGTTCTGAGTTCTAAAACACGTTAAGAGTTATTCCTCAAATTTACCACGAAAGTTCATCGTTCCCACGAGATAAAAAACGGTCGGATCGTCAACGGAGAGTAAATTCGACACAAACATTCAAAGGAGGCACTCCATCGCTATCAAGAAGAACCCAGTTTTAAACAAATAGGAGAATCCAGATCATTCTCCTCTCTTTTGTAATCAGAATCTAATTGTAATCGAGATCAAAGGAATACAAATCAAAATTTTCCCTCATTTCTTTTACTACAAATTTTCCACAAATAACGATGTTAGGAAAATCACATCATTCAGTGACTTTAGAAGTATAATGATGATGATTGAAACAAAGGCACATCACTTAGTAGGCCTAAGTTAGGAAAACGAATATCATTTGGGGAAAATGACGATGTTAGGAAAATCACATCATTCAGTGACTTTAGAAGTATGACGATGATGATTGAAACAAAGGCACATCACTTGGTAGGCCTAAGTTAGGAAAACAAATGCTATTTAGGGAAAATGACGATGTTAGGAAAATCACATCATTCAGTGACTTTAGAAGTATGACGATGATGATTTAAACAAAGGCACATCACTTGGTAGGCCTAAGTTAGGAAAACGAACGTCATTTGGGGAAAATGACGACGTTAGGAAAATCATATCGTTCAGTGACTTTAGAAGTATGACGATGATGATTGAAACAAAGGCACATCACTTAGTAGGCCTAAGTTAGGAAAACGAACGTCATTTGGGGAAAATAACAATGTTAGGAAAATCACATCGTTTAGTGACTTTAGAAGTATGACGATGATGATTAAAACGAAGGCATATCACTTGGTAGGCCTAAGTTAGAAAAACGAACGTCATTTGGGGAAAATGACGACGTTAGGAAAATCACATCGTTCGGTGACTTTAGAAGTATGATGATGATGATTGAAACGAAAGCACATCACTTGTGTTAAACCCTAAGGCCGCTAGGAAAGAACCCTAGAGGTGGGTGAATAGGGTTTATGCTAATCTAATCTGATTTTATGCCAATTAAAACTTATTAATAAATATATTCTTGCAAGATAGATATACAACTAATTATGAGTAAGAATATGCAATATGAGCAAAGGGCTATATCCTAGCAATAAGATATATTATGAGATATATGCAAGGATATACAAAACACTCAAGGGTAAACAAACTAACATGTAACAAAAGCAATATAACAATATGCAAGAATAAAAGGGCCAATGCCAAACTCAAACACAAGGAAATGATCACGGAGTTCGGACCTTCCGTCCTACGTCTCCGCTCCCCACTCCCGGGGAGAATCCACTACACTATCCGGTTTGAAAGCCGGAACTTCTCTACACACTCAGTTTTCTAGCTAACCGAAAACTCTACACACTCGGTTATCAAGTCAATCGATAACTCTCACAAATCCTCACAAAGTACATACACAAGCTACAACCTCAAGTGTTGGTCCTCACGTATCGCCTCCCTCAAGTGCTCAGAATTATCACCTCTCACTAGGCCACTGACGCCACTCCTCTCGGTATCGACTACGTCCTCACCACACACTCCTCTCGATGTACAAGTGTATTACAAAGTGATCTACACAATTAAGTCTCACAATAAATGATTGTTCTCTAAACAAGGTGAGAACTCAATTAGGCTCAACTCAAAGTCACAAACCCCACAACCCAAATTATACTATGAATGTAAATACTATAAGCTCAATAGGTTGTGTGTGAACAAAGAGATTCAATAAAAACAATTTAACTAAACTCAATATAAATCTAGCTTATGGAAATTAGAAACAAAATAATAAATAGCTAGAATGAGTTTAGGAAAACTTCTCTATAGATCAAGAGAGAGAGAGAGAGATGAGTTAAAGCTCAAACACCAAAGGATAATCTCTTCTTCCTCTTGTGAAATTATCTTCACAAAACCGAAACTTTAAAACAATGCTTTAAACACCTTTAAACAAACTTAAACAAACTTTAAACCCTTGTTAAACTTGTTTAAAACATTCTCTTGGATTAAGAAGAGCTGAAGGCAATGGGGTATTTATACCCACTCAAAACTTCAGAAAAAACCCCAAGGAAAAGACCAAAAACCCATAAACAAACAAATCAGAAAACTAGCTGTTACTGTGCAACGGCTCTCTGATAAGTCGACTTATGAGTCGACTCATAAGTCGACTAATGAGTCGACTTATATGAGTCGACTCAGCAGATAAAAAATGGCAATTCCGCTACACTTCGTAAGTCGACTTATAAGTCGACTTATGAGTCGATTTATGAGTCGACTAAACATGCACAGATCAGATTTGCACAGGAAAACTAAACTTTAAACTGGGTTTAAAAATATCAAATAAATTCAGAAAAATATAAAACTTTGGAAAATGATTGTAGGCATGATAATACACATGCTACAAAAACTGGTTTTCTAAAAAGACTTCCCAAATGTAAAATATCATCATTTTGCAAAATAGTCCAAAACATGAAAATGTAAACACATGAGTTTTGACATTTTAGCTTAATCATGTTTTGAAACATTACAAAATGAATATATAGACTTAATAGAAGATGTATATCATTATTGTTAAGTCCAAATACCAAGAAAGCAATATTTTCACAAAAATACTTGTTTTGCAAACTTTCAAAACAACAAACATGATTTCATTGAACTAATTAAAATTGATATTGATGAAATCATATGTAAGCATAAAAACATAAAACTAAAAGGTATTTTCCAATTATATTCAATTGTTTCATATTTAAACTTAAAAAACCAAAACAATAAATATGAAAGATGTAATTTCATATTTATATAAACTTAGAAATAAAAACATGTATGTATACATATACCTATATATACCAAAACTAAATTGTGTATATATATATAACTATATATATATATATAACTATATATATATATAACTATATATATATATATATATATATATATATATATATATATATACAGGGAAACCAATATAATGTGTGTGTATATGATTGAGCTTAAAGTACCAACACACATAATATAAACCTAAACTAATGTTACCCAAGCTTGATCTTGATCTTCATTGTAGCTCAACTTGGTAAACTTGGATGAAGCTTGTAATTGGATCTTTAACTTGAATTGTATAGGCTTCAACCACTATTCTGTCAACCTCCATTGGATATGATCATTGAAGCGCAATTCCATCCATCCTCCAACACGTTGTTTGCCTAGAATAAATACGAAAACACAAACACTAGACAAATAACATTAGAAGTAAATTGTTTGTTAAACATCATCAAAACAAGAAGGTCAACAACTTGGTAGGCCTAAGTTAAGAAAACGAACGTCATTTGGGGAAAATGACGACGTTAGGAAAATCACATCGTTCAGTGACTTTAGAAGTATGACGATGATGATTGAAATGAAGGCACATCACTTGGTAGGCCTAAGTTAGAAAAACGAATGTTATTTGGGGAAAATGACGACGTTAGGAAAATCACATCGTTCAGTGACTTTAGAAGTATGACGATGTGCATCACTTGGTAGGCCTAAGTTAGGAAAATAAACATCATTTGGGGAAAATGACGACATTAGGAAAATCATATCGTGAAGTAACACATCATATAGTAGGTTACTATTAGAAAGATATTGTTTTGAACTAAAACCATCAGCGGTCAAAGGTAAAATTGACATAATAGTAGTCCCACTATTCTATTGAAGAGGATTAGCGAGGGAAGTTTGGAGGAGACGAAGTAAGGAAACCATTACCTTTATCTGCTTCTTCTCGTGCTATAAGGCATATCTGACTATGAAGCTTATGGGTAATATTTTTTTAGAAATTTATCATTGATACGCATTATAAGTTTGTCACCATTTTGAGTAATAAGGCGATAAGCTCCATTTGAGTAGACAGTTTCTACTACAAATGGTCCTTCCTATTTTTGGCTCAAACTTCCATTTCTTCTTGGAGTTGAAAATCATTAGATGCCGAACAGCAAGAACTAAGTCGCCTTCTTTGAACGTGTGGTATCTAACCTTCTTATCGAATGCTCTGAAAATCCGAGCTTAATAAAGCTCGATGTGTTGCTGAGCCAATAGTTGTTTTTCATCAAGCGCTTCCAATTCTTCAAGACATCGGCGATGACTCTCTTCGGTCGTCATACTAATTGCGAGTGTTATTCGCAGAGATAGAATTTAAATTTTCAATGGTAATACGGCTTCAAATCCGTATACCAAGGAATATGGTGTAGCTCCTGTCTGTGTGCGAACGGTTGTGCGATAAGCCCACAAACTTTGACCTAATTTCTTATTCCAATCTCTTTTATTTGTCGAAACCACCTTAGTGAGAATTTTGACGATGGTTTTGTTAAATACTTTTGCTTGCCCGTTAGCAGCAGGATTATAAGCCGTTGAAGCCAATGTCTTGATCCTGAATTTATCACAGAATCAGGTGAAGGCTTCGCTAAATAATTGAGGCTCATTGTCATGAATGATATGCCTCAGAACGTCGTACCTATATACGATGTGATGTTTTAAGAATTTAACAACATCACTCGTCTTGACATCTCTCAACGGGATTGCTTTTGCCCATTTAGAAAAGTAATCAGTTATCGCTAAGATGAAGCGATGTCCTTTGGAAGAGGGTGGTGTTACTGAGCCAACATGTCCATTCCCCATGTTTTAAAAGGCCATGAAGTGGTTGACGGATAAAGATGCTCAGGCGGTCGGTGCATGTAATTAGCATATATCTGGCAGACATGGTATCGTTTAGCATAAGCGATAGCGTCTTGTACCATGTTAGGCTAGTAATAACTCAATCTGCATAGTCGGTCCCACAATTTAGGACCAGGCTGATGAGCTCCACAGATGTCATCATGAGCTTCTTTAAGAGCTTCTCTTGCTTCTCTATTTGACAAACAGCGAAGCAAAAGCCTATCGTACGACTTTCGATACAAAGTCTGGGATTGAGAATCATAGTAGAATCTAGGTGCTCGTCTACGAGTAGATTCTCTTTCCTTGATATCTTTAGGCAACAAGCCGTATAAGACATAATCAATGATTGGAAATCGCCAATCCTTATGTTCGAGCATTGCGGGCTCATCTTTGATTGTGTTGATCTGTAATGTATATTTTGACTTGAATAATTATCTGCTTGTCACTGTGATTTGCTGGGTAGTTCTCTTAGGTAAAACTAAGGTAGTCGCAAGTGACACCAATGCATCAGCATAGGTATTCTTGAGACAGGGTATATGGTCGATGTAGAAGCCCTTAAAAGAATCGGTCAATGTGATTGCTGCAGTATGGTAAGGAATGAGGTCTTTATTCCTAACTTCATATTCTCCCTTCATTTGATTAACAATGAGTTGAGAATCATCATACGCTTCTAAATGTTTCACCCCAAGTTTTTTAGCTATATCTAGGCCAACCAACAAAGCATTGTATTCAGCCAAATTATTAGAACACGGCTCTGTTAAAGAAACGGCACGTGGGAGTATGTGATTTTAGGGAGAGATAAAGACGATCCCCACTCCAGCTATAACCCGACCGGTAGAACTTGTCATTAATGCACCATTAAAGTATAATTGTCATACTTGCTCTCTAGAGATGACGTTTGCTTCATACATCTCATCTGGTATGTCTTGGTACAATTCGGCCATTTCTTTCAGTGGGTGATTGGCCATAAGGTCACAAATAGCCTGCCCCTTCACTGTTTTTTGAGGTTTAAAATGAATGTCATATTAGGAAAGCAATAAAGCCCATCTAGCGAGCATCCAGTTCAATGCACTGGGCTGTGTCATGAATTCCCGAATAAGATTGATATGGGAAATGACATGTATGGTTTGCCCAACCAAATAATGTCGCATCTTCTGAACTGTGAAGACTAGCGCCAGACATTCCTTCTCAATAAGAGGATAACGAGGTTCAGCACCCGATAGAGTCCTACTGAGATAGTAGACAGCTTGTTCATAGCCGTTTTCGTCATCTTGTGCTAAGAGTCCTGCCAATGCATGATCTGTAGCCCGGATGTATATCAAGAAAGGTTTACCTGACTTCAGTGCAACTAATATCGGTGGATTGGAGAGATATTGTTTAATCTCCTTGAACGCTTCCTGGCAGACCTCATCCCACATGAAGGATACTCCTTTCTTCATTAGTTTTGAAAATGGTTGGCATTTCTCTGACAGGTTAGAAATGAACCTGCGAATATACACCAACCGTCCTTGTAAGCCTCGAAGCTCCTTAAGATTCCTAGGAGGTGGTAGCTCTTGGATGGATTTGACTTTGTTTAGGTCTTGACGAATTCTATTAGCCGTGACCACGAATCTGAGAAATTTACCACTAGCCATTCCTAAGAATGACTTACTTGGATTCATCTTCAGCTGGTGTGCTCACAAAAGATCAAACATTATTTTCAAGTCGTACAAATGGCTTCCCTTGTCACGACTTTTAACAACCAAATCATCAACGTAACATTCTACAGTCTTCCGTAGATGTTTTTGAAAGATAGAGGTCATAGCACGTTGATAGGTAGCACCATCATTCTTCAATCCAAAGGGCATTACTGTATAACAGTATATCCCTGAAGGTGTTCGAAAGGATGTGTGTTTTTCATCATCAGGATACATTTTGATTTAGTTGTACCCTGAGAATCCATCCATAAAAGACGTCCTTTCAAACCCGCACGTATTGTCAATAATGACGTCCATGATAGGTAAAGGAAAATCATCTTTAGGACAAGCTGAATTCAAATCTCGAAAGTCGATGCACACTCGAATCTTCCCGTTCTTTTTTAGAACAAGGATAATGTTGGCCACCCAATCAGGATGTTGCTCTTCATGGATAAATCCTGACTCGATGAGCTTTGTAACTTCAACTTCAATCGCCTCTATGATTTGGGGCTGAAATCGCCTTTGTTGTTGTTTAACAGACTTGATGTTTGGTTTGATGTTTAATCAATGCATAGCCACTTGGGGATCAAGCCCAGGCATATCCTCGTAGTTCCAGGTGAAGACATCAATACACTCTTGTATTAGAGTAATAAGGTATTCTTTCTTTTCTGACGACAGGCTATCGCCTATGAATATAGGTTTTGGATTAATGTCGTATGTTCACTTGAATCACCTTGTCATCAGTAGGGGGTTCACGTTGTTCAAAACGATGTTCCTATTGTATACCCAACTGTCGGCTTAGCAGATCATCAAACAGAAGTAATTGGTCATCTTCTTGATTTTCCATAGGAGATGCTGAAGTCATATTGGCCATGAGTGCCTTGAATACAGCTCCTGTGCTGGTGTCGGATTCCCAGCAATTAGATTCAGAAGATGAGGTGTAAGAATCTTCATCTGACTCTCCTTTGGTTCCAAAACGCAACATAAATGGTGGAGATTCATAATCCAACCCACTATGAGTTTTGTGATAATAATCCTCCGACCTCCCTTCCGGTACATAAGCAGATCGTATTGGTACCCGAATCCCTCTGTCGAAATTTAAGCCTTCTTTATGGATGAAATCATATCCCATATTCTTCATAAGCCTTCGGGTTGTTGGAGTGAAGTACGAGAATTGCGGATATCTTTCCTCTTTCTCGGATTCCTCTAAAAGGTTTGCACCG